TATCATTATTGTAATGGGGGGCCCTGGAGTAAGTCATAGCCAAGCTTGTGACTTGTTTGTTGCTGAGTGAGTGAAAATGTGATTATCACATATAAGATATTACGCATTATAATAATTGTTCTTAAATATCCACTTGAATCAAGTTAATTATAGTAAAAGTTCAGGAAGCGTCTTAATCTCTTTAAACAGTAGATTAATCTCTTCTAAACAGTTTGCGGTCTGAACAGGTAGCCAGCTAATACTCTCCTCACAACATAATGGACATTATAACGACATGTTAAAACGATATTTAAAAGTTAACATAAAGTAGGTAAAAATGTGTTCATTAACCCTATAATGAGCACATCCACAAAAGAAAAAAAAACGATAGAGAAATTATTTATATGCATTATGTAGTTTTGGGAGCAATAATAACAACCAGCAATGTTTTGATCTGCCAAATGCCTTAGGGTAATTTTAGGTTTTTAGGATTTTAAACTATAGTCTACTGTATTTTTCACTGATTTCGTTATGCACTTAACATGTTTATTTTGAGTAAAAAAAAACAAAAAAAAACCAATTTAAAATACTTATACAAATATTTTGTTTACCCACTTGTCAGGATGTGCTAGTAGTAGTAACGTTAATTGAGAATTTTGTGTATTGTATTGACTAACACTGCTATGTACAAACAGAAAGCATATAATTTACCATTTATGAATGTAACACTGGCTTTTGTGAACTTGATTTTATCAGATTATAGAGGTTATCCATTTAATTGACACAGGTAAAGATGTTTGTAAAGAAAATTTCAAAACTTTCATTTAAATATTTTCGAGGGGAAAAAATAGCAAAAACCCAAAAGCAAAAAAAAGTGTTACAATTATCCCTGCTCTAGTAGTAGTCATTTTCATTCTGCCATCGTTACTGCACGTTAAAATGCCAGCAGGGTCTCAAAGCTAGCAAAACTAGCTGAATGGCAGTGTTTAACCTTCGCCTATGATTGCATTGAAGGACTGTTAAGGATTAAGGGTCGTTAAGGGTTAAAAGATTATAATATTTAGAAATTGTGCTTTATTTATAGGCTATGTGTCATGGTTGATTTTTCTTTTTTCTTTGAGAATTTAAAACAAACTGTCCTCGGTGACCTTATATTAAAATTGGAATTTGTAAGTGGTAAAACACATTTTTTCTTCTTCTTCATTCATGTTTTTAGATAGTTTTTAAAAATTAAATTCTATTTGATTTATTTGTTATGTTTATATATACTGTAGTTGCTTTTATCTATACAACGCTAATTTATGTTTCTTATTCTCTTTTCAGTTTAATATTGACTGGACTGTAGATTCAGTGTCCCTGGGTCAGAAATCATGCAGTCAGACTCCCGTCCCCTCGTTCCACATCACAGCCTGGTGTCAAGTTTTGAGCTTTTCTGCCTCCGGAGAGGCAGAATCAACATCAGCTGTGACAGCACAGAGAGAGGTGAGGCGAACCATGTGACTGCGGGGTATCAGGAGAGATTAGTAAGGACTGTTAAGGATTAAGGGTCGTTAAGGGTTAAAAGATTATAATATTTAGAAATTGTGCTTTATTTATAGGCTATGTGTCATGGTTGATTTTTCTTTTTTCTTTGAGAATTTAAAACAAACTGTCCTCGGTGACCTTATATTAAAATTGGAATTTGTAAGTGGTAAAACACATTTTTTCTTCTTCTTCATTCATGTTTTTAGATACTTTTTTAAAATTAAATTCTATTTGATTTATTTGTTATGTTTATATATACTGTAGTTGCTTTTATCTGTACAAAGCTAATTTATGTTTCTTATTCTCTTTTCAGTTTAAAATTGACTGGACTGTAGATTCAGTGTCCCTGGGTCAGAAATCATGCAGTCAGACTCCCGTCCCCTCGTTCCACATCACAGCCTGGTGTCAAGTTTTGAGCTTTTCTGCCTCCGGAGAGGCAGAATCAACATCAGCTGTGACAGCACAGAGAGAGGTGAGGCGAACCATGTGACTGCGGGGTATCAGGAGAGATTAGTGGATAGGTAGGAGTGTGTCTGTTACTCTCTGGGTAGATTGCTGTCTCTCGGTCATCGAGACTGACCTGATTTGAACTGCCATTCCCCCCAACCCGGTGATAACGTAGACTTTACAATACATCATCAGTTGCTTGTGGAACTGCAATGGCACTGCTTCCACAAGTGGAGGCAGAACACTTTGACGGGCTATCACTCCTCTACTGGTAGGAAATGCCATTATCTGGTTGTTATCTGGCTGAGTGACTTTAGATTAAGCAAATACTAATTCTTTTAAAGCTTATTTGATGTCTATCATAGCCTCATTTGCTGTGCTTGTGTCGTTACCTTTATGTTTCTGCTTGTTTGAATGTGTTGGGCATGGATGTTACAACTGCCTTGGAACATTTCAGCATATCCTAATATTCTGTTTAATCAGTTGTGATGCTCTAATAATGCAGATAAACTAGCTTTCAGTCACAACAGCGAGTTGCTGACTGTACGTAAGAAATTGTCGTTTTAAAGTCATTTAAAGTTCATTATCATTATGTTGGTGATGAACCAGCAGGAAGTGGAAAGTTAGAGAAAGACGGACAGGATGCACCCTAGGGGGATGCCTGCGTAGTTTCGCTATAGTCACTTGAGTGCATATCCTTACATGGCTTGAGCAAGGGAAGACAGATTAGAATTAAGTGATCAGTTTAATGCTGGATCTTTTGTAACACAATCTCGTGCTCTACATCTGAGCTCTCTTTGTTCAGGGTGACTCGTTAAAGACAGATCCTTTTATTTCCCAAAATGCTTTATGATATATGTTTATATAAGGTTTGTGTAGGACAAAATCCTTTTGATAAAGATTTAAAGGAAATAAACATGCCTTAACCTTGACCTGCCTGCTGCGGTACAGGACAGATGATGTCATTACACTGAACGTAATTCTAATTCTCTTCATTGCTCTTATTGTGACAGAGATTAAAGTGCATTGTTTACAATGCAGCAGAGGAGATAACAAATAACACAAATTGCGTAGATGGGAATCAGGTTAAATACATCACTAGTAAGGAGCACAAGCGTTTGTCCTTGTCATCCTGTTCAGTTCGCGCTGACTGCCACATGAACCCAACAAAACAAAAACAGCACTTTGGTCTGAGATGAAAAAAGTCCTGGAGTTGAATCATCATCTGTTCCATGAACACGGTTGAGTATTTAGCTAATGCATATGTTTGTTGCCACTTAACCTGGCTTTTTTTTTGTGTTAAATACAGAGTGCTGAAAAAAACATTGCCATATTTTGACACTAATACAGAATATGTTTTTGCATTTTTATTTTTTTTTAATTCCTTGTTTTCTAATATCATAACTTGCATATTTGTACTATCAGAATAAATATGAACTGGATTTTAATAGTTTAAAAACATACTTTTCCTGATCTGATTATAAACAAAATATCAACTTGATAACACATATCTTTCATAAAACAGTACATACGTTTGGGGTCTCAGTGACCCCAGGTATGAATAAATGCAATGCATTTCACATGTTTAGATTTTCTACATGTTGTACACAATGCACAAGTATACACTCCTTCCAGTTATTTTCTTTGATTTGTATTATTTATTTTTCTGCTGTTTTTATTTTTCGATTTTTATGATCATTTTCTCTTTTCTTTCTGTGTTTTTGCAGGGGTCAGATTGACCTCAAACAAACCCAACGTTGCTATACTGAACAACAATCATGCACTTTTCAAAAGTGCATGCCTATTTGTCAAACAGACAGATAAAGCTTAAATAACATCTGTTTGCTGAGTTTTGATGAAGTCAGATGCACATTTAAATTGAATCTGAAGTGAATATTATATGTCAGTTTTGAAATTGCTTTAAAAAATTTTACGCATGCAACATTTTACTCAATGTCCTAGTTAAAGGCAAAACATTGTATTCTGTTGCTTTCAGTCTGTTATAGGGATTAAATGCAATAGAGATCAGGCCATCATTGGATTTGATACATACCCTCTTTCTATAAAAGAATTATCATTTGGCGCTTTCAGTGTTTACCTACATGTTGAGTGATTTTAAAATAAACCCATGCACAGTAACCTACTTCCTGTATAAGCACTTTTTTAAAATTTTGGCATGATATTTTTTATTTTGCCTAATAATGGGCCATTACTTCAACCACTGTTCTGTTTACTGTAATAAAAAAACATTGATTTTCTTTATAGCTCACTTTAAATTAATACATTTCAGTATTTCTATATTATGAGTGATTTAACCCTCTGAAGCCTAGGTGTACATTACAGTACATGTTTTTTTTTCTTTCCTGGAATATTTACCATTATCTTCTGTTATAATGGGCAGATGTGCAACTCTCCCAATATGCAACATTTTGGGGAAAAAGGATTGGGAATGATTATGTTCTTTCCTTTGGGGATTTTATAATTCATGCCTCAGAGGGTCCAACTGCATTATTACCATCCATTCGATGATCTGTATTTTTAACAGTCTGGAACATTTCTCAGAAAATCTTGTTTTTATGATAATATCTCTTGCACTAAAATTTAATGGAATCTCTTTTTTTTAGGACAATAATGGGGCCCCATGGCATCAACTGTGCTGTGGAGAGACTAGAGTTTACAGACTGTAAAAGAGGACTTGGTGAGAACCACAGCACAATTTCTTTAAGTTTATAATATTATTCCTAGAAAACTGGTTTACACTGCTTTATTTTTCAAGGCATTTGGTGCACAATTTGATTTACTTTGTTCTCTCACCCCCATATAAAGAATTAATAAGAAATTGTCGTTTTAAAGTCATTTAAAGTTCATTATCATTATGTTGGTGATGAACCAGCAGGAAGTGGAAAGTTAGAGAAAGACGGACAGGATGCACCCTAGGGGGATGCCTGCGTAGTTTCGCTATAGTCACTTGAGTGCATATCCTTACATGGCTTGAGCAAGGTAAAACAGATTAGAATTAAGTGATCAGTTTAATGCTGGATCTTTTGTAACACAATCTCGTGCTCTACATCTGAGCTCTCTTTGTTCAGGGTGACTCGTTAAAGACAGATCCTTTTATTTCCCAAAATGCTTTATGATATATGTTTATATAAGGTTTGTGTAGGACAAAATCCTTTTGATAAAGATTTAAAGGAAATAAACATGCCTTAACCTTGACCTGCCTGCTGCGGTACAGGACAGATGATGTCATTACACTGAACGTAATTCTAATTCTCTTCATTGCTCTTATTGTGACAGAGATTAAAGTGCATTGTTTACAATGCAGCAGAGGAGATAACAAATAACACAAATTGCGTAGATGGGAATCAGGTTAAATACATCACTAGTAAGGAGCACAAGCGTTTGTCCTTGTCATCCTGTTCAGTTCGCGCTGACTGCCACATGAACCCAACAAAACAAAAACAGCACTTTGGTCTGAGATGAAAAAAGTCCTGGAGTTGAATCATCATCTGTTCCATGAACACGGTTGAGTATTTAGCTAATGCATATGTTTGTTGCCACTTAACCTGGCTTTTTTTTTTGTTAAATACAGAGTGCTGAAAAAAACATTGCCATATTTTGACACTAATACAGAATATGTTTTTGCATTTTTAATTTTTTTTAATTCCTTGTTTTCTAATATCATAACTTGCATATTTGTACTATCAGAATAAATATGAACTGGATTTTAATAGTTTAAAAACATACTTTTCCTGATCTGATTATAAACAAAATATCAACTTGATAACACATATCTTTCATAAAACAGTACATACGTTTGGGGTCTCAGTGACCCCAGGTATGAATAAATGCAATGCATTTCACATGTTTAGATTTTCTACATGTTGTACACAATGCACAAGTATACACTCCTTCCAGTTATTTTCTTTGATTTGTATTATTTATTTTTCTGCTGTTTTTATTTTTCGATTTTTATGATCATTTTCTCTTTTCTTTCTGTGTTTTTGCAGGGGTCAGATTGACCTCAAACAAACCCAACGTTGCTATACTGAACAACAATCATGCACTTTTCAAAAGTGCATGCCTATTTGTCAAACAGACAGATAAAGCTTAAATAACATCTGTTTGCTGAGTTTTGATGAAGTCAGATGCACATTTAAATTGAATCTGAAGTGAATATTATATGTCAGTTTTGAAATTGCTTTAAAAAAATTTACGCATGCAACATTTTACTCAATGTCCTAGTTAAAGGCAAAACATTGTATTCTGTTGCTTTCAGTCTGTTATAGGGATTAAATGCAATAGAGATCAGGCCATCATTGGATTTGATACATACCCTCTTTCTATAAAAGAATTATCATTTGGCGCTTTCAGTGTTTACCTACATGTTGAGTGATTTTAAAATAAACCCATGCACAGTAACCTACTTCCTGTATAAGCACTTTTTTAAAATTTTGGCATGATATTTTTTATTTTGCCTAATAATGGGCCATTACTTCAACCACTGTTCTGTTTACTGTAATAAAAAAACATTGATTTTCTTTATAGCTCACTTTAAATTAATACATTTCAGTATTTCTATATTATGAGTGATTTAACCCTCTGAAGCCTAGGTGTACATTACAGTACATGTTTTTTTTTCTTTCCTGGAATATTTACCATTATCTTCTGTTATAATGGGCAGATGTGCAACTCTCCCAATATGCAACATTTTGGGGAAAAAGGATTGGGAATGATTATGTTCTTTCCTTTGGGGATTTTATAATTCATGCCTCAGAGGGTCCAACTGCATTATTACCATCCATTCGATGATCTGTATTTTTAACAGTCTGGAACATTTCTCAGAAAATCTTGTTTTTATGATAATATCTCTTGCACTAAAATTTAATGGAATCTCTTTTTTTTAGGACAATAATGGGGCCCCATGGCATCAACTGTGCTGTGGAGAGACTAGAGTTTACAGACTGTAAAAGAGGACTTGGTGAGAACCACAGCACAATTTCTTTAAGTTTATAATATTATTCCTAGAAAACTGGTTTACACTGCTTTATTTTTCAAGGCATTTGGTGCACAATTTGATTTACTTTGTTCTCTCACCCCCATATAAAGAATTAATCCCAAAAATCTTGTTCTCGGTTTGACAGGCGTGAAGATGATTGGGGGCTACAGAGAACAGAGTGGTGAAGAGTTCGGTATTTTCATTAAACGAATTTTGCCAGGTGGCGTGGCAGCACAGGACGGTATGTTCACTTTCCCAAAATCTCCACTGAATGCTTCTACTTAGATTCTGGAAATGATGGATGATGTCCCTTGTCTTTCAGGGCGTCTTAGAGCAGGGGACCTCATTTTCGATGTCAACAACATGAATATAGGAGGTGTTACAAATGAAAAGTAATGTATTCTGGATTGGTTATGGATCTGTAATAAATTAGAAGATGCCTGAAGTATATTAAAACAACTAAACTGAAAAATCGGTTTGATGTTTTATTAGGGCAGTGGAAGTTCTTCGCATGGCGTCAGCTACAAATCACATGTCTTTACTGATAGTACGTGACGACGCTTCCAGGTAAGATGACTTTTATGAATTGGGTGATATTTTAAAAATTTTTAAAGGAATATATTTTTTTCTATTTATTTTTACTTTTTATATTATTGATTTGTTTTGTGTTTAAAGATTAAACCCTTTAACTGTCACCGTCCCGTATACGGGACGCCTAAGTTTACTTCAATATATTACAATTAAATCCTAATCTAATCATGACAAACTATATATTGTTGGAAAGGTCTAAGACTCCTAAATAGATATTTTACCACTGTTTGTTGTTAAAAATTATGTAGGAACAGTAATAGATTAATTTATGACAAGAGTGCACCTCAAAACATATACATCATAACAGGAGTTCTGACCTTTGTCACAAAAATTATTCTTCGTTTCCTTTTTCCCTATCACATGTTTTAGTAATTATCATAAATTATATATCATTTGAATTAAAACCTCCAAATTCATCCTGTGAAAACCATTTTGAAATCGGACACTGCGTTACCATGGAAATCATACTTTAAAATCTTTTAGCGGGCTCCTCCCCCTTAGTGGGAGGTGTCATATTCCAAATGTATTACGGTCTTTTAGAATCAAAACTTTTCATAATCTTGACAAAATACATATCGTTGTAAATGTCTGAGTCTCAAGATTCAAGATTGGTGGTTATTTTGCGATAGGAGTAATATTGAGAGAGAAATTGATACATTTGTGACAGAAAAATGCATCAAAAAAATTCAATGGAGTTTGGATGGTACCCGGTGGCTGTTTGTGATATAACGCCTAAACAAAATTGCATAGGAATCTCAATTTTTTTTATATCAACTTCAAATTTGGAACACAACTTATTTAGACAT